ACTTACAGCCCGCAATGCTTAATCGATCGTCTTGAAAACTTTTTTTATACTTATTCCTTATACTCTAAGGCTGACCTCTTTTATTTTTGGTGCATGCCCGACCCCTGGGACAGAGCCACGCCCAATATTTGTGTGTCTTAGGCCGCAATTCTTAACAGATCCTTTTGAATCTTTGCATACCTATTTTTTATACCCTAAGGATGACTCCTATTGTTTTTTGGTAATTGCCCAACCCCAAGGACAGGCATTGGCCGAGAAAGTTCATCACGATTTTCCGGCATGGTTTCCCCCTTGTCAGTGATGCAGGACGAAGGGGCTGACAAGGACTGCTGTCTAGTCGTTCGGATGGGATGAAAAACCGAGGTCCCATATACACGATTCCATAAAAGATTCCATGGCAGTTGGAATTCGATATAAGAGAAGGCTGTAGCGCCGCTGCCCGGGCAAAATTTCCCTCATAGCACACTGTATGGCCGTCTCCATTAGACCAGGTTAGGAGCAGAACAGTAGGATGTTAAACCCCATTTCATTTCATTTCATTTCCCAAGGACAGAGCCACGATTCTTAATGGATTGTCTTTGAACTTGGGATATGTATTCTTTATAGCCTAAGGATGACAACTGCATGTCCCGACCCAAAGGGACAGAGCCACGCCCAATTTTTGTGTTTATCGTTTACAGGCCGCAATTCTGAATGGATCAACTAGGTACTTGGCATATGTATTCCTTATAGCCTAAGGGCCTCAATTATTGATTTTGGTGAATGCCCCGACTCACAAGGGCAGAGCCATAATTCTGAATTAATTATCTTGGAACTTGGTATACTTATTCCTTATACCCTAAGGACGGCAACTATTGATGTTGGTGCATGACCCCCGCCTCCACCCCCACTCTTTGCCCTTTCGGCGGTGCCACATCCACTTTTTGTTTATATTTTGTCTGTAAATGATATACAGGTTGCAATTATTAACAGATTTGGATCCAATTCGGAATGGTCCAGCGTAGGGTTGTACCTATATATAGTTGCCCATGTCCAACCCCCAGGGTCAGAGCCACGCCCAATTTTTGTGTTGTTTTTTTCTACAGGCTGGAATTCTAAATGGATCGTCTTGGAACTTGGCATAAGTATTCCTTATTCTGCAAGGAAAGCAACTATTTATTATTTTATCGGTAAATACTCTAGTACAGGTTGCAATAATTAACAGATTTTGTTCAAATTCAGCATATTAATCAATTCAATAACAGGGTGGTACCCCCCAGGGGCAGAGCCACACCCAATTTTTGTATTTATCGTCTAGAGGCTGCAATTCTGAACGGATCATCTTGGAACATTGCATAATTATTCCTTATACCGTAATGGCAGCAACTATTTATTTTGGGGCATGCCCCGACCCCCTGGGGCAGTGTCACACCCACTTTTTGTTAATATTTTGTCTGTAAATTTGGCAAAACAAACCAAACGCTTAGCCTTCTTTACCTCTTGTCATAATACAGCCATTTCATATTTTATCTTCTTCATTTTAAAAAGTACCATATCAATCAAAGCAGGAATGTGGACGTATATTGCAGCGTTAACAATGCTCTTGTTATGTTATATTACATTAATATTTATATCAATATCACTGTCTCGTTAAATTCACCATGTTTGGCGCAATATAGCCCGGTTGGAGCCGACGTGCCATAAAACTCCATTCATTCATTCATTTTATATCAATATCAAATGGACTTATTGGAAGGTTCAGTTATTATAATTTAATTTGTCAATAGGATTCTGTTTCTTAACCAATCAAAAAAAGTGTAAAATTTGAAATTTTAGGGTTAAATTTGACTAGACACTCACTACCTGGGTGAGGAAAACAGATTCTTGGTCTGCAGGTTGTGTATAGTTATATACCGGTATATTAATTTCCTAAATTCTGCCAATTGCTACAAATATTTGCAAATTATTAAAATAAAGATGGTATGTTCAAATGGGCACAAAACCAGACCGATTTTGCGTAGAATACGATGCCGAGGGGTAATCAGTCCACCGTTGGGGCGTTTTCGAGATATTCGGGGGTCAAAAGTCAAATGAGATAATTTGCACTGAAGGTGAATGCGCGGTAATTCTTGTATACTATTCAAAAAAAGTAGGGGATATTTGATTTTTAAGTGTTATTAAAGTCACCTAATGAAACTGACGAAGAAACAAATGACAAAATGAAATGAAGTTCACATTCATCGATTTATTCCAAATGATCGTTAGACTAAGTAAGGCACAGACTGACCATTATAAGGGTAAAATGATACCCGGGGTCAAACAGCAAAGTTACCATAGCATCACAACCAAGTCAGTAACGGGTAAATCCTCCTCTGTTTGCCAAACAAGCATTGATCCGACGTGGCATACTCCTAATGAGACGTCTAAGGTCATTTTGGTCCAGATTGTCCCATTCCTGTTGCAACGCAGCAGCAAGTTCTTGGACATTGGCAGGACGTTGTTGACGTTGACGTAACCTCTGTCCAAGCATGTCCCAGACATGCTCGATGGGGGAGAGGTCGGGACTCAGTGCTGGCCAAGGTAATGTGGTGATGTTCTGTTGTTGGAGGTAACCTGTAACGATCCTGGCCCTGTGACATCTTGCGTTGTCATCCTGGAAGATGAAACGGCGGCCATGACGTCGTGCGAACGGCACAACATGGACTGCCAAGATGTTGTCCCGGTAGTACTGGCCTGTAACACGCCCTGCAACAACATGTAAAGCCGTTCTTCCAGCAACAGTGATGCCTCCCCACACCATAACAGAACCACCCCCAAATCGATCATGTCTGATGACGTTAACGTCTTGGAAGCGCTCGTTTCGACGACGCCACACCCTCCTACGTCTGTCCAAAAAATCAACAGTGAACCTTGACTCATCTGAAAACATCACATTGCTCCAGCGTCGATTATCCCAGTGTTGACGATCCCTACACCAACGACGTCTTGCCTGAATGTGATGATCTCTCAAACAAGGGATCACGCGAGGACGTCGGGCGCGAAGGTGACCCCTATGCAGTCGATTCCGAATCGTCTGGCCACTCACTCTCACACCAGTGTCTGTTTGAAGACGAGCGCTGATCTGATTTGCTGTGATGACATGATTTCTCAAGGCCAAGGTACTAATAAATCGATCCTGGGCTTGAGTTGTCGCCCTTGGTCGACCTGAGCGTGGTCTGTCCTGTACAGATTGTGTATCAAGGTATCTGGACCATAGCCTGCTTATGACAGACTGAGAAACATTCATCGTCCGTGCCACAACCGCCTGTGTTGTGCCGATCTGTAGCATGCCAAGGGCACGTAACCTTTCATTTTGGGTAATTAAATTAAACTGATGTTTCCACCCTGGAATTCAATGCCACAATGACTGTAACATTCAAAGTCAGAGTCGTGCAAATCTTGGGTTGGACCCCCATGATGATCCCAAGCATCACATGCATTCCATGCGGTAGCTATTGGTGCGTTTGGGCGTCACATGTAACTGGAAATGTTTCTTCTGTTAGGTTCTATAGTGACTTTTTTCGTAGTCATTTGCATATTTTAGTATTATGCCCCCAAAATCAAATATCCCCTACTTTTTTTGAATAGTATATTATAAAAATAAGCTGAAAATGATCGAAAGTAATCACACTTTCGATAAAAATGTAAACTTGCTAAATTCACTTTTAGTCTAAAGCGAAACCTGTTCTAATTAATAATAGGAACATTTAAAATTTATCTTTAGATGGTCTTAGCACCGAACTTTTACTTTGGAACGTCGAAAATGATCTTGCATAACAGAACCAACAACACACTTTGAAACCTGTTTCAAAAATACATAAAAACTGTCAAATCGAAATCTCTCCTATTTATTTTCACAATGATTGTTATACATAATGATACTAGTTATCTGAAAAACAATTGAATAGTTTCAGAGTTTGACTCCAGCCTGCAGGCCGCGTGGATTTCCGAGAATCCCAGTCTAGGAAAATCGACCTTAATCTGTGACGGGAAAACACGTATCTGACGACGAGATTAAAAGTTTGCAAATTTTTATGAGTTTTTATGAATTTCGCTGGAACATGGATGCAGATAAAACCGACGAATGCATTGTACATAGTAGTTCACAGGATATATATGTCGTATTGGTAAATGTTAGCGGGGGAAAATTTTGGCAGGCTTTGTGACGCGGCCTGCAGGCTGGAGTCTAGCCATGGAACTATTTAATTGTTTTTTTTTTTTTCAGACAACTAGTATCATTATGTATAGCATTCGTTGTAAAACTAATTCGGAGAGATTTTGATTTAACAGTTTTTACATATTTTTCAAACAGGCTCCGAAGTGTTTTGGTTCTGTTATGCAAGATCATTTTCGACTTTCCAAAGTAAAAGTTCGGTGCTAAGACCACCTAAAGATAAATTTTAAATGTTCCTATTGTTAATTAGAACAGGTTTCGCTTTAGTTTTTATCGATCATTTTCAGCTTATTTTCATAATACAAGAATGTTTGCGCATTCACTTTCAGTGCAAATGAACTCATTTGACCTTTGACCCCGAATATCTCGAAAATGCCCCAGTGGCAGACTGATTACCACTTGGCAACATATTCTACGCAAAATTTTACTCTAGAAAAGTTAGGTCTGGTTTTGTGCCCATTTGATGGAGTTCGCCCCTTCGTTTCACTAGAATGTCCAAGAATGCGATTTGCAGATCGTTCATTTCAATTGTGAATTTGATATTTAGATCTAAATCATTCACTATTTTTTGCAAATTATATATATATTGTCTGAAATTCTACACGATATGCTTGCCATTGGTCCTATTATATTTGGTCTGCAGGTTGTGTATAGTTATATACCGGTATATTAATTTCCTAAATTCCGCCAATTGCTACAAATATTTGCAAATTATTAAAATAAAGATGGTATGTTAGTCCACAAATGACTTAAGTTATGTTGAGTGAAGGTCCGTTTATTAATATAATGCTATGATTCTATATTTCAGTTTTCTGATGGTTTTATCGGTCATCTGTATAGTATATCAGAACATGTCAGTCCATTATTAGCTTGGGGTTTCCTCGGACCAGAATCAGAATTAAAAACATCATGTTATGTTTTCAAGGTTTGTAGCTTTCTGCTTTACCATGATCTTTATCAAAAACCAAACAACTATGGTGAATGGTAGGAATTAATTATTCAAGACTGAAGTGTGATGCAAGGAATTTCTAGCGTATTTGAGATGATTGGTCAAGTTGAGTGTTTTGATATCAGGCTTGTATGTGACAAAGAGTAGAGTCGACTGCCTACCTTCTTGGTTTTCTTCGTGTTTTCCTGTTAACTCTGCAAAAGGCTCCTCCTCAATCTCTCTCTAATGTCGCATTATATCAAAATACTACACAATTGCTTCACTTTAAATCTGAAGCAGCACCTGCCAACAACCTGCATGGTGTAGGGTGGACCTTATGTTGTCTGTTTCATCAAGTCAAAGTTCTGTTTTTTTAGGCCATAAACTAATTATGATTTGATTGCCAGGAAGTAATATGTGTTTATTATGTTACAGGATTTAGTGTTGGGGTATATTCAAGATTTGTTTAGTTTTGATAAAGCTCGTTACACAACAGTAGAAGACTTAGCAGCAGATATATTATCAATCGCTAAACAAACTAGTGAAGTGGCTGCAGAACAATTATCATCTTGACGTTTTTCATGGTTTATATGAAATCGACAATCGTTTAATTGAAAAAATTTTGAGAAGATGGGTTTTAAAAAAAATACAACTCATTGGACTAAGTGGAAAAGAGACATCATAAAATCATTTCTGTCAGTTTGTAGTGAACTCAAGTAATTAGAAATACAGAATTTGCTCGCCAGATATTCTCATTTCTAGAAGAAAATTACAGTACAGTAATCACTCTTTATAATGTTTTCATGAAATCGAAATTCTAAATTTAGATAAGCAGAAGTGAAGTTGGCTTATTGAAGAGAAACAATATTAATAATGGCAGTATTACCTTATCGAACAGATTCATAAAGACGGTATCGTCTTATTGAAGAGAAACGATATTGATATTAATGAAAAGATTGATAAAGACAGTATCATCTTATCGAAGAGAAACAATATTGATAAAGATAGGATTATCTTATAGATTTAATTAAAATACTGAACTTTGATTATGATATAATACAATATGAATTGTGTGCTTGTAATATACAATAAACAATACTAGCCACTACGGTAAATAAATTATTTGTGTTTACCTTCGTCATTCAAAATCTGTCTTCATTAGACAACTGTTGAAAAGTAAGACGTTAAACTCCATTACATTTCGTCTTTCAAAAATATGCATATTTGGATATTAAAATAAAAGTAAAGCTTATCATGATTGTATGCTTGTAATATACAATAAAGAATGCTAGCCACTATGGTGAATAAATTATTTGTGTTTACCTTTGTCATTCAAAGCCTGTCTTCATTAGACAACTGTTGAAAAGTAAGACGTTAAACCCCATTTCATTTCGTCTTTCAAAAATATACATATTTGGATATTAAAATAAAAGTAAAGCTTATCAGATAACCGACACCTTCCCGTGCTGAAAGTGACAGTGTTGAAAAGAAATGTAGGATGGAATTGTTATGCCAACAAGACCTGTCATTATTTCATCTGTCAAAATTATTGTAGCTTTATATGTTTGTAGCATCGTCAAAATTTTCAAATAAATAAGATTCAATGTTTGTTATTGTTAATGTGATGATTTTTATGTGATCAATTTTTTAAAATTTTATTTTGCGTACTATTTTATTTTTGTTAATACACTCAAAGCAATTAAAAACGCATTCAAAATTCAAGGCTTATTTACTGCAACAAGCATCTGTGGATAATTTCATGAAAAAATTAACTACAAATGCACAAAACCGAAACGTCAGAGAACCATGAAACAAAGCAGGGGTCAGCTGAAGTCAATATCGGGTATGTCCACCCTGAGCTCTTACACATGCCTGAAGTCGCGTGATATCCTACATTTGCATAACAAGTTGATGCTGTGCAAAACATGCTATGTAGAATGCGTGAAGGACAAATGGGATGTGGCAGAGAGCAAATGTAAAATGTAATGAGAGAAATGTAAAATGTAGACACGTCAAAAAAAGCATTTTCCCACAAAACATTTGTCATTTAACACTTAACATTTGACGTTTTACATTTAACTCTTGCCTCAGAGGTATTATGACTTTATCATTACCGGTATTATGACTTTGTACATTGTACTTTTTACATATAATCAATAGAAAAAACACTGTAGTAGAGCATTTAATATTGGCAGCGATACCCTTCCATAGAATCGGGATTCATCCGAGAAGATGACGTTTTGCCATGGTGTGTTGTGCAGATACCCCTGATTTGCGGCCCATTGCTGTCAGGCAAGTCGATGACGATGCAAAAAGATTTAACCTTGGTAAGGTCGACGGCAGCATAACCCAAGAGCAGCCAGACACCTTCGGACTGTTTGAGGGCTGATCTGATGTTGCCTTGTTCCAACAGTTCCCCTGGCAGTAGGTTTAGCTGATTGAAACCTGTTGCACAGATGCTGTAGTCGACATTATAGTGTCTAGCGACGCGTCTACCTGTGAAGCCCCCTGATCCAGCATGCCAGTAGCTCTGTTCCTGTTTTCTTGTGTAGGGTGTGGCATTTTTCTGAAGTGATGAATGTTGAAATTTTGATCTGTATTTAAAGGGCCAGAGTGCAGGGAATGCACATGCAAAACGTGTGACATGGGACTGCTTAAAATCGTGAAAAAAGACAAGTGTTGTGTTTGCACGAACAAAGTTCATTACTGAAAACTGATATTGGGTTCAAACCCAGAACTCCACAAAAACAGACCCATCACAAGTTTCACCTATGTGCCATAAGATAAGAAACCCCAAGAATAGTTCCAAAAGAGATAATGAAAAATGAATATATTGAAAATTTCATTCAAATTATTTTTTTCTGAGCGAAGTTATCGGTGTTTGAAGATGCAGCTTATATTGTTTATTATCGTAGCAACGGTACTGGATAAGTGAGACTTAGTCTCGATTATACATTTTATTGTTAAATTATTAAATCTAATCCATTTAAATCTCTACCATCCGATGATCTAGAGCGTTAGATTATGGGCTTGTCATGTTAATAATATAAATGTTTGAAGAATAGTTTATAGTCATGTTAATAAATGTTTAAAGAATAGTTCATATAACCTTTGAAGCCAAAATAAAGACCTGAAATAGGCAGATTTAGCTCTTTCATAATGCATCTTTAATATCATGAAAATAGGTCTGGTTTTTATACACCCACATTGAAATGTGGTCGTATATTGTCGTCGCCCCCGTCGGTCCGGCGTCGACAATTGCTTGTGGATGCTCTAGAGGCTAAAGTTAATATCCGATTGACTTTAAATTTATACACAGTGTTTAAGGTCAAGAGACGAAGACGTTTATTCATTTTCAGTGATTTACGATAATTACTGCCAGAGTTATGGCCCTTTGAAAAATCTTGTGGACGCTCTAGAGGCTAACGTTAATATCCGATTGACTTTAAATTTATACACAGTGTTTAAGGTCAGCCTATTGGTTTTCAGCGATTTTCGATAATTACTGCCAGAGTTATGTCCCTTGATCACTTCAAAAAATCTTGTGTACGATCTAGAGGCAAAGTTAATATCCGATTGACTTTAAATTTATACACAGTGTTTGAGGTCATGAGACGAAAAAGCCTATTAATTTTCTGCGATTTCCGATAATTACTGCAAGAGTTATGGCCCTTGATGACTTTAAATTTGTACACAGTGTTTAAGGTCATGAGATCATTGCAAAAAATCTTGTGGGTGGTCCAGAGGCTAAAGTTATCATCCGATTGACTTCAGATTATTTTCTGATAATTACTTAATGAGTTGTTACTCTTAATCAGATTTTAGTCTATTATAAATTTTTCATTACCGAAAGAAAGTAAAAATATGCGACAACTCTTGTTGACTGCCCGGACGATTTAGCTGCTGTGGGCGTATGTTTCGTTGCCTGGCAACCTATCTTTAAAATTATATTTGATTCCAATCAACAAATAGAATGAACCCATACGATCATACAGATACCACAAGATGGTTTCTAACTTGTACGGTTGCAGAGAAATAGTTGATTTTCTACAAGTCACTTTTCAAGGTTTTTGGTCCATAAAACTGGCAATTATTATTCGATTTTCATAAAATTTTCACCATGTGATGCCTTATGCCATTTATGATTTCATAGAATTAATCTAACATTTTCCCCGGAAGTTATGTCATTTTGGAAAAAAATGTATTTTTAGCTTCCAAAACAAACATTTTTTTGAAGTGAGTTATATTTATTATTTGTTTAAGATTTTGATATTTGACTCCAATGGACATATAGATTGAATCAATACGATCATATAGATGTCCAAAAACAGCTTGTCGAGAAATAACAATTTTGTCAGGATCACTTTTAAAGATTTTTTTTCGCATTTTTATACGCCCACATTTTCATGTGCACATATATTGTCGTCGCCCCTGTCCGTCCGTCCGTCCGTCCACAATTGTTTGTGAACAGTGTGAAACTTGAAATATGAGTTTATCACCCTAAGATCTCGGTTCCTTTCGATATTGGCATCTATCTGACCATAACTTCATGGATTATGGCCCCTGATTGTACGAAAAATCATGTTTTTGACTTGTGAACACTGTAGAGGTCACAATTTTTATCCGATTTTGTTGAAACTTGAAATATAAGTTTATAACCCAAAGATCTCGGCTCCTTTCAATATTCGCGCACATTGGACCGTAACTTCCTGAATTATGGCCCCTGATTGTACGCAAAAACGTGTTTTTTCTCTTGTGGACCCTATAGAGGTCATAATTTTTATCCGATTTAAAAAAACGTATTATAATATCACCGTTACACCATAAGGACAACTGAGTTCGAATTTCGTGAAAATCGGCCTAAAATTGACAGACAAAATGGCCGCCGTTCGTTCTCAAATAGCGTAAAAATATGGTATATCAAGGTTGTGGACCCTATAGAGGTCACAATTTTTATCCGATTTTGTTGAAACTTGAAATGTAGGTTTATAACCCAAAGATCTCGGTTCCTTTCAATATTCGCGCATATCGGACCGTAACTTCCTGAATTATGGCCCCTGATTGTACAAAAAATCGCGTTTTTAGCTTGTGGACCCCTATAGAGGTCATAATTTTTATCCGATATAAAAAAACGTATTATTATATCACCGTTACACCATAAGGACGACTGAGTTCGAATTGCGTGAAAATCGGCCCAAAATTGACAGACAAAATGGCTGCCGTTCGTTCTCAAATAGCGTAAAAATATGGTATATCAAGGTTGTGGACCCTATAGAGGTCACAATTTTTATCCGATTTTGTTGAAACTTGAAATGTCAGTTTATAACCCAAAGATCTCGGTTCCTTTCAATATTCGCGCATATTGGACCGTAACTTCCTGAATTATGGCCCCTGATTGTACAAAAAATCGCGTTTTTAGCTTGTGGACGCCTAAAGAGGTCATAATTTTTATCCGATATAAAAAAACGTATTATTATATCACCGTTACACCATAAGGACGACTGAGTTCGAATTGTGTGAAAATCGGCCCAAAATTGACATACAAAAGGGCTGCCGTTCGTTCTCAAATAGCTTAAAAATATGGTATATCATGGTTGTGGACCCTATAGAGGTCACAATTTTTATCCGATTTTGTTGAAACTTGAAATGTAAGTTTATAACCCAAAGATGCGCATATCGAATTGTAATTTCCTGAATTATGGCCGTTGATTGTAGGAAAAATCACTTTCTTTTTAGCTTGTTCTCTATCCATCTCTCAAAAATGTGGGCGTATTCTGCCTGGCAGCCGCTGGTTATCCGATTTTGTTGAAACTTGAAATGTAAGTTTATAACTCAAAGGTGGATCACGTGGCTAAGTGGGTAAGACGCTAGCTCGCAAGCCTGGAGGTCGAGTGTTCGATCCCTGCATTGGCCGAGAAAGTTCATCCAGATCTTCCGGCGTAGTTCTCCCTTGTCAGTGATGCAGGACGGAGGGGCTGACAAGGAAAGCTGTCTAGTCGTTCGGATGGGACGAAAAACCGAGGTCCCGTGTACACATTGGCGTGCACGTAAAAGATCCTTGGCAGTTGAAATTCAATATAAGAGTAGGCCGTATGGCCGCTGTCCGGGCAAAATTTCCCTCATAGCACACTGTGGCGTATGCCCGTCTTCATTAGCCCAGGTTAGGAGCAGAACAGTAGGACGTTAAACTCCATTTCATTTTATTTCATTTATAACTCAAAGATCTTGGTTCCTTTCGATATTTGCGCATATCGAATTGTAATTTCCTGAATTATGGCTCTTGATTGTAGGAAAAATCACTTTCGTTTTAGCTTGTTTTCTATCCATCTCTCGAAAATGTGGGCGTATCCTGCCTGGCAGCAGCTGGTAATTTCCCTTTAGAAAGTCAGCTAACTTAGCGGTATTTTAGTAATAAATTTTGTCAGGATCACTTTTTTGACATATGTAACACATGGTAACAAATGTATGAATGGAATTGATATTGCGGGGTTTGATTTTTTCTGCTGTCCATTTTATAACACGTCTGCAATGTTTATGTGGAAATCTGTTTATCGGTTCCATTGGAACTGGAAGTGATATGAGCTCCAGGGTAACGTGGCACTGAAAGT